CCTTGGGATAGGCCACAGTGTAAGTTCAACACGCAAAAACTGAAGGACACAATCACACAGGAGATTTTCACTTCAACTGTCAGAGCAAAGCAGGAAACACTACGTGGCACCACCGAGGAATCATCCGTGGAAGACCATTGGAACTCTCTGAAAGTGATTTTCAACGAAATGTGTTCAACGGTTTTAGGAAGAAAGAAGAAACAAGACAAGGAATGACTCTCAACGGACACTTGGAAGCTAATAGAGGAGAGGAGAATGGTGAAAGAGAAAATGATTCAATGCAAAGACGGACAAGAGAAAGAGACGCTGAACTCAACTTACACTGCACTGGACAAAGAAGTGAAGAAGAGTGCCAGGAAGGACAAAAGACAATTCTACGACAACCTGGCCACTGAAGCTGAGAAGGCAGCAGGCGAAAGGGACCTGAGGACACTATATCAGATAACCAAGTCTCTATCCGGGAAGAGATCAACACAAGTGAAACCTATAAAAGACAGCCAAGGGAACCCAATTACCAAAGAAGAAAGACAGATTAAACAATGGGCGGACCACTTCAAAGGACTCTTGAACTGACCACCACCTACAACCCGTCCAGAAATACCAACAACAGCACGTACACAACTGCAAGTTGACACCAATCCTCCAACGAAAACAGAGGTTATGAATGCAATCAAGCTTCTGAAAGCTGGAAAAGCAGCTGGACCAGATGGAATACCCCCGGAAGCACTGAAAGCGGACCCAGAAACGACAGCAGATATGCTGACTCCATTATTGCAAAAGATCTGGGAAGAGGGAAAGGTGCCTACTGACTGGAGGAAAGGTTACCTTGTGAAACTACCAAAGAAGGGCGACCTAGGACTCTGCAAGAACTGGCGAGGAATCATGCTCCTGTCGACGCCAAGTAAAATCCTGAGTCGCATCATCCTGGAGAGAATAAAGGATGCACTGGATACAGAACTCCGACCAGAACAACCTGGATTCAGGAAAAGCAAATCATGTTCTAACCAAATTGCAACTCTTCGCATTATCATCGAACAAAGCATGGAATGGCAATCAAACCTCTACCTCAACTTTATAGACTTTGAGAAGGCCTTCGACAGCGTTGACCGCCAAGTAATTTGGAAACTACTCGAGTACTACGGCGTACCCCATATATATATCAACCTTATTCAACAGCCGTACGACAACGGCACATGTCAAGTGATCCACAACGGAAAACTCAGCGAGGAATTTGGAGTAAACACAGGAGTCAGACAAGGGTGCTTATTATCACCAATGATATTCCTAATTGTGGTGGACTGGATTATGCGTCAGACAGTGGGAAACGAGAAGATAGGAATATCCTGGACCGACGTGAAGAATCTAGAAGACCTGGATTTCGCGCGTGGATGATTTATGTTTGATGTCACACAAAATGGAAGACTCACAAGCGAAAACCGACAAACTGTTCGAGGAAGCAGCAAAGACAGGACTCCAGGTGAACATAGACAAGACGGAGGTTATGAAAATAACCAACCAACACCAACAAAAACAACAGCATCAGCAACATCCAGCGCATATCACCATCAACGGGAGGGATTTGAAAGAGGTTACTTCATTCACTTATCTAGGGAGCATTGTCTCAACCACAGGAGGAACGGACGAGGATGTCAAATCGAGAATCGGGAAGGCGAGAAACACATTCATCAACCTGAAACCAATCTGGAAATCTTCGTCAATAGTCAGCATCAACAACAAATTTCGGATTTTCAATACAAACGTCAAGTCACTTTTTCTAAACGGTTCAGAAACTTGGAGGGTCACAAAGAATATTTCCAACAGCCTGTTGCAGACGTTTATCAACAACTGTCTTCGTTCTATACTGAAGATTAGATGGCCGGAAAGAATCACAAACAAGAAGCTATGGGAACAAACAAAACAGGAACCAATCGCTCAACAAATATGCAGGAGAAAGTGGAGATGGATTGGACACTCGCTGAGGAGGCCGTTGAGTGACATCGCGCGTCAGGCCAGTGCTCGAGTGGAACCTGAAAGGGAAGCGGCGAGTGGGACGTCCAAGGGTGACATGGAGGAGATCGTGTGAAGAGGAACTGAAACAGTATGGATTAACATGGATGCAAGTGAAAAGTACAGCAGAAGACAGAAGCAAGTGGAGACGTGCAGTTGAAGCCCTATGTTCCACTAGGAACCCAAGGGAGCAATAATAAATAATAATAATACGGACTGCCACAAGGTAAGGTCGACCTTTACTAACTTCTCTCCCCATAGCTCAGAGGCGGCACAGCTATCTTCCTCATCATTTGATGAAATGCATTCGGTCTAACAGCTATTCAAACGACTTTTCTAACAGCATAGTAAAATGTACAGGAACACCAATTCCAACCAGTGTAGCTCACTAGATTATTGTGAATATACAAGCCCGATCAACGCATCACAAAATAGCAGCTATCAATTGGGTCATAAAGAATTAGAAGAAAACTAGAGCAGAAGGGACAAGTAGTTAGGTGTTGATAACCTAACCCAACTAATTATCTATAAATATCTTTGTAAAACAAGAATCAATCAGCTGTCAATAATAGTGAAACTGACATAAAAGTACAATCTTCTGTGAAGATACTTAAGAAAATATATATGTATATATATATATATATATATACACATTAATACACATCTAAAATATGTGAATACTATTCACTTTAATTCACTTAGATAGATCCAATCAGCGTTAATTGGGCACGGTGGTGCTAGTGGGGTGGGGCAGGGGGGAGAAGTGAAAGGAGGAGAGGATAGAATGTCAGAATTTAGGGAAAAATAATAAATTATCATTCTAACAGATTCAATAATTTAATTTATTTTTTCTTAAATTAAATGACTTTCACAGTTAGATATTGAATACGCCCAACAAATATTGTTATTTCTTTGGTTTTCTAGTTGAATAGAGGTCTTCAGCAATTCAGACATCTGAATTTCACCGTGTTCTCTGAAGTCTGCTTTGACTGGCTTTGCGATTGCTCACAAGCTTCAATTTCCTCCTCATACGAGATCTGGTTAAGTTGTTGTTTCCTGTTCGGGTTTCACTTGGTGGCCTGTCTGATATATGTGGGGGGGGGATTCAACGGTCTTCTCAGAGTATGCCGAACCCATCTTCACTTCCTTCTGTAGATTTAATGGGTGATAGGCTGTTGGTTTAAATGTGAAGTCGGTCTTCATATACAGATCAGAAACTTGGCGTGTCATCAGAAGGATTTCCAACAGGCCATTGAAGACTTTTATCAACAGGTGCTTCCTTTGCTGGCTGCCTCCATACTGAAGATCAAATGGCCAGTCATTCAGCCAACCATAAAGAAAGAATTAGCAACAAGAAACTTTGGATGGTTGGGAACAAACCAACAAGCAAGAGCCGATTGCTCGACAAATATATAGGAGAAAATGGAGATGGATCGGGCATACTCAACTGTGGAGGCCGTCGAATGACATCTTGCTCATTGCAGGCCATGGCTCGAGTGGGACCCCAATGGAAATCGATGAGTGGGTCGTTGGTCCAAGGGCAACATGGAGGAGGTCGTTTAAGGACGGCAGAAAATAGAAGGATGTGTAGATGTTTGGATTAGACACTAGTAACTAATGTGACGTGTCTAGTCCTTTCTTTGGTGCGGATTGAATTCTATCACTCAGGTTTTGCGATGTGGCCACCATTCTAGGTAGCTCGCCATCTCAGAAGGGACATGAGTTCCTTCAAGGTTGCAGATACGCCTTGCTGATGAGTGCCAACTGGCACGAAACCTAGATGGAAGGCTTCCTGCCGATTGCCTCCAACTATCTAATGTGGAGTTGTGTTGTTGAGGCCCTATATTCCACTAGGAACTCAAGGGTTGAGTTGGCAGTGTTTTTAACAAACTTGCACAGAGTTCATTTTTAAACAAAAATCAATCGATATATGCATACATTAGTAATACTTGTATATAATAATAAACACTTCATCCCAAACTATTATGATCATACACAACGAAAACATTCCGCATTACGTAATCAGATGAAAGAGAGGGTGAAAATATCCAGTTACCAGGCAGGTCAAGGAAAGATGGACAACCTCTTCTTTTTGAACGCATGAGTCAGGTTTCAAGCGCTTGATAGAGATTGCTTCGGCAAACTTAAGGAGAACTGAACTCTTCTGCCTTTTGATAATTTTTATTGATCTCGCGACGTCCACCTCATTACCCGTGTCAAGGAGATGCCTGGTGATGGCACTGCTTAAAGCATTTGTTCCCAACTGGACAGATAGGCTTTTTGATGCAATATTCAGGAAATCGTAGGTATGCCCTTCTTCTTCCTGTTCTTCCAATGTAACTGCTCCCACAGATACATGTAAATTTGTATGTACAGTTGGAGTTAACATGAGAAGGATATCTGTCGATTTTTGATTGCACCAAAGAGCAATTTGTTCAGCAGACGGGAACCAACTTAGCTGCAGGATAGGCTCTGCCTAGTGCTGTCTTTGTAGCGGTAAATAATTCCCCAAAATTATTAACCACAGCAATCATCACTCAACATTGGATGCTGACCATCACTGTTTAAGTCGACTTGTTTAGCTGAAGGCTTACGGTCAAGCATCCCCGCCATTTGGTGCTTCGTCGTGTCACGTGCGTGCACGATTACTAGCTAGCTAAGCATTCATTCCTACCCGCGATTTGGTCCCAAAATATATATCGTATTTGGACGACAAAATCTGGTCTTTTGCTTTACCATTTGGTACTCGAAGAACGAACACTATAGTGGTTGTTGGTATAAGATCTTGCGTTAGTATAATCCGTACAACTCGCGAACGTCGATACCAGCGTCCTCTAAACTGGTGAGCCCTACCACGAACTACATCTTCAATTCACACGCAGATAAACCCGGTGAGTTCGTTCCTTTTTGTGTTTATTCTTGTACTATATTGTTATCGGCATACTTTTCGTCATGAGTGATCCTAGCCCCAAGGTTATTCAGATTCGCTCAGCCGCCAAAACAATCCAGCTAGTACCATATTGGCCCGATAATGCTGAAACGTGGTTTCAGATTGCTGAGTCTGATTTTTGTGAACATGGCATAACTGATCAACGTTCACAGTTCCTTGCAGTTATTCACGCTCTACCGCGGGAATTCAGCAGGTGCGTAACTCTGCAGATGTCGGTAAGTAACTCGTACGAGTTGCTCAAAGAATCCATCCTCAAGAGAAACGTTCTCACAGATCGACAACGTCTGGATGAGTTATTTCGTAACATCGAGTTAGGAGATCAGTCAGCCGTGAGCATGCTGGCAAGAATGAAAGAGATCATTGGCCAAAGTCAGTTCGATGAAGGACTGTTTAGAGAACTATTTTTATCCAAACTGCCACAGTCAGTTCAGACTGTACTTGTGACACTTCACGGTGTTCTCATAGATGATTTAGCTGTCTCTGCAGATAGAATTCTAGAGATAACGAAACGGCCAGTTACCGAAGTATACTCTGTTACCGAACAGACTTCGAAGAAGGATTCTGCAATGATAGAGTTAATCAACTCCGTCCAGCAGATGTTTAGGTCAAACAAGCCTAGCAATTCCTCCTATCGTCGTTCTAAATCCCCTCAACGGCAAAGCGCACGTGGACGATCTAAGTCCAACACACGCTCTCTCAAAAATCCTGACTGGTGTTGGTATCACAACACCTATGGCAAGGAAGCGAAATGTTGTCGAAAACCTTGTGATTTCGGCAAAACCTCCAAGTCTGTGGGAAACTATCCCGCCGGCACGCGTTAGCGGCAACCGTCGCCGGTGGCACTAGCCGCTTACTTTACATCCATGATGTAATTAGCCAGACTAGATATCTAGTCGACACAGGCGCCGAAGTCAGCGTCCTTCCTGCTACAGCAGCAGATCGACAGAAGGATCCTAACCTCAACCTACAGGCTGCAAATGGAAAACCAATTGCAACCTATGGTCGGAAATACGTCTATCTGAACGTAGGTTTACGCAAACCTATTCGGTGGATTTTTCTGATCGCTGACGTCACAATGCCCATCATCGGCACGGACCTACTTAATCATCATGATTTGCTCGTAGACGTCCGCCGTAAACGATTAATTGACAACACTACTAGTTTGTCTATCAAAGGCATAACTTACGTAGGCCCCAGCTTGTCAATCGTTAAGATGAAAGCAATCCTCGATCCAACTTTTCAACCGATTGTTGATAAATATCCGGAACTGAATTGCCCATCTAACGACCTCCCGTGTATAACCAGCAATGTTATGCACCACATCATAACCTCAGGACAGCCCGTGACATCTAAAGCACGACGACTGGCCCCTGATAAACTGAGAATTGCCAGAAACGAATTCGATCATATGCTCACCCTTGGCATCATTCGGCCATCGAATAGTCCATGGGCATCCCCGTTGCATATGGTACCGAAAAAGGATAGCAACGATTGGCGACCCACTGGTGATTACCGGCGAGTGAACGCCAAAACAACTCCTGATTGCTACCCTTTGCCTCACATACACGACTTGACGGCAACGTTATCTGGAGCATCTATATTCTCCAAAATCGACTTGGTTAAAGCATATAACCAAATCCCCATGGCAACGGAAGATATTCCGAAAACGGCTATCATCACGCCTTTCGGACTTTTTGAATTCCTACGTATGCCATTCGGCCTCCGGAATGCGGCCCAAACATTCCAACGCTTCATCAACGAAGTATTTCGCGGTCTCGACTTTGTATACGCATACTTAGACGACTGCCTCATTGCCAGTCCAGATAAGGAAACTCACCTTAGACACTTGGACTTGGCATTTGAAAGGTTACGCCAACATGGTGTTACCATCAATATACAGAAGTGTCAGATAGGCGTTGACTCACTCGATTTTCTGGGTCACACTATTGACTGTCAGGGCATTCGCCCACTGGCTACTTCGGTCGATCACTCTAAGAAAACGCGTTCTGGACGTCACGTTAGATTTCCAGAATACCTTCACACCTATTTCACATAACTGAGTGACACATCAATTGTTTTTTATGTTGCGTCATTTAACACAAGTAAATGATATTTTTCCTATAACCGTACATAAAATTAAATTAGATGTATATTTTTTTTCCCGATATTTTGAACTTTACATTATTTTACTGTATAGTAGATGCATGTCATATTTTTTTGGTAAAAAAAAACGCTTATTTGGTACATTTTTCTTGACAAGGTTCTCAGCATTCTTGTTTTCTTTTCCAGGTGCAACGGGCACTGGACAGGAAACAAACGAAGCACGGGATCCAACGAACAACATTGAGGAAGCTATGTACAGACACCCTATTAGCATAGGCAGACAGACCAGCAGGCTCTCCATCAAGCCGCTTGGAAGATTTTTTTTCACCCATCAGGGAACCATCGAGATTTTTTTACTTCCGGCTGGTCATGTCTTAGGGTCCTCACAACCCCACTAGGGGGGGAGTGAGCTGTAGCGGTAAATAATTCCCCAAAATTATTAACCACAGCAATCATCACTCAACATTGGATGCTGACCATCACTGTTTAAGTCGACTTGTTTAGCTGAAGGCTTACGGTCAAGCATCCCCGCCATTTGGTGCTTCGTCGTGTCACGTGCGTGCACGATTACTAGCTAGCTAAGCATTCATTCCTACCCGCGATTTGGTCCCAAAATATATATCGTATTTGGACGACAAAATCTGGTCTTTTGCTTTACCATTTGGTACTCGAAGAACGAACACTATAGTGGTTGTTGGTATAAGATCTTGCGTTAGTATAATCCGTACAACTCGCGAACGTCGATACCAGCGTCCTCTAAATCTTCAATCTTCTGTTGAAAATTGCTGTAATATTTTCACCCTTGTAATCGAGTTGAACGTAGATGGGCTTTTTTTCCACTGTGATTTGCCTGATATTTGAGTCTTCAGATCTTCCGTACTTGTTAATGAACCTTTGAGGGTGAGCGTTGCTTATCTTTGCAGTTATTTATTGAATCTGTTCATCGATAAAAATTTAGTTTAAAAATTCTTTATATTACTCATTATAATTCTCCTGGATGCCGAATGGAACACGGCATCTTAGCAGTATATTTCCATATCACTTTGTTATCTGTGCTCATTTTTAGCCGGCTCCATGTTCACCCACAACACTTCACATTTTCTCCTTCCTTGACCTTCTCCAATTCATCTTCAAACAGTCAAACCACCGATTCCTATCCGCATGTCACTCGAGGGTCTGCTTAACAATAATAATAATAATTTGCTATATTCCAGAAACAGTACTAGTGGTACAGTGTGGAATTTTCAGCACATATCTACAATATTTGCATCTAATTTTATCAAACATTTAAAAAGGAGTATTTCAAAAAAATAAATATAAAGACACCAACAGCAAAAACAAACACAAAAATAATTTAAAAAATGCGAAAAAAATACCAGGAAGTAGAAAGGAAAATAAATAAATAATATCTCAGTATTGGGTAGTGGAAGCTATGATATGTTTATGCATGGTGACAGTAAAGTTATAATCATACAAGAAGTTATGAAATGATATTTAAGAATGTTTATCGCCAAGTTGATCAGTTAATTTGGTTGAAACAAACACCAAAACAATCATAAAATAACATTTCAGGGTTGTTGTTTTGTTTTTTATTGTCAAGTCTAATGCGGTGTTTGTAGTGGTAGTGTGAGCAATCCTGAATAATACAAAATTTTTAAGTTGATGACAATGGCGTTCACAACCAATAATTGTCAGTTAATACTGCCGAACAAAAAAAACAACAACAACCACAAAAACTAATAATTACATGATGGTTAATGACAGGACAATTTTGTAATACTCATAGTGCTAATATAGTCGGAACCAGTAGATACACAAAATAAGGAATAGAGTAAAGTGCAAAAAGTAAGCCAATGTTAGTAATTTAGGTAGCTAAGTATGTTTAAGAAGGAGTTTACTATAGAATACAAAATAAAAGAGAAATAAAAGAGCCTAAAATTATGTTATTAACGACAAAGCAAGTCATAGGTTTCGCGCTTAACATTGCCCCTGTCACTTAGGACACGGGCCAAATATGGTATGGTTGAGTTCCTGTACTTGGTTTTACGAGCATATATTACATTATACTGATTTCTGGTTCTACCTGATGAGATACAAGGTGAGAGTTGGGAATAGAGGGGGTGTTGGGGGTCTGAGAGTATGGTTTTAGACCATTTTTCGCATGTATTCAGATGTCTTTCAAATAATTTAGTGACGAGCTGACTGAGTTTTACTCCACTAGTCCTACTAACTACCTTCAACATCCTTATTAGGATGGCATAGTCCTTTTTCAGTAGCCCAGGAAAGACTAGCGGGGAGCAGTAAAGTAGAATAGGTAAGATACGAGAGTTGACAAATTGTGAAAGTAGAGGTTGGGTGATTCCAGATTGTCTAAGTTTCTTAATGTGACGTCACTCAGTAGTTTCCTCAGAGGATATCAAATTCACCACCATTTTATTCTACATATTTATCCAACGATATGCTGTTGGCTGGTTCCTTGTAAGAGTTCTTTCGGCTTTTTTTTATCTAATCTTCAGTATCATATGAGTGAAGTCAACAATTAGGCGTCTAGTGCTAGGTAAGGAAGGTAACTCAATCGATGAGGTTGTGAAGTAGCTGCATCGATTGAGGTGGTTAGGACATTCTGTGTTACACATGCCTAGCCATTCATCGTCTTCCTTGACTTGGCGATGTTATCTGACATAGGGTCGATGGGGCTGGAAATTAGGTAGGTAGTGCTGATCAAATCAAAACAGGGCTTCATCAGTCAATGAAATCCACAACAGTTAGTTTAAGCAAGCCAGTCAGCCACTTCGAGAGGTGTAGAGTTCCTGACTGGTAAGGATCCTCGGGATGGCAGGAACCAATGAAAGCTGGAGACTGTTGGTGACATAGCGCTAAATAGTTCTCAATGGCTGGAGCGGATGCATTCACTCCTTGTGATTTATCATATCCAATAAAAATCTATTGTTTACCCATATTACTATTCATTTTGCTCCATATTTATGTTTATTATCTCTCTTTTGAGTCCTTCTCTACTCCCTTCTCTTACTTTGTGTACTACAAGGAATGAGTGTGGCAACCTTAACTCCTGGACATGATGCATCCTGGAAAGCATTTCCAACATGTCTCGGCAAGCTTTCATCAATTGCTGCCTTCTGTATTGACTGACTGACTGGTTTCAGCATAGGACTTTGCACACAAATCTCCGAAGCATAGAAAATCACCGGTTGATTTGAAATTAATGTTAAAATTCCAGATCTTGTGCCTTACTCTGAGTGCAGTCGATTTCCACACTAATTTCAGTGTAATAAAGTGTGCCTCCCTTTTCTAACCATAGCTGACAATCTGTGTCTCCCAACTGTAGTTCAAACGATGTCGTCTAGGCAAAGTACGTAGAAGAGCTCACTTCCTTTATATTTCACCCATTGATGATGATCGACATCTTTTGTTGTTCTCGGTTGAACATCTTCTTCACCTCGTATGAACTGTGATCAAGATTTGACCGAATAGTTCCAAAATAATTGGGCGCCGACTGAGAAGTAGACATTTGTAAAAAATTATATTTGTGAATTCCCAGCGAAATTGAAATGATTAATTCCAGCGTTTAGTTCGGCAACTGACACCTTACGCTTATCACTGGTGAAGGTTAAGGATAAAATAGAAGAAGAAAACCAACAGAATTGTGTGTACCAGATCAATTGTGGGGACTGTGACGCCGTCTATGTAGGAGGAACTT